TGTTATCGTAATACTGTACTCAAGAGATGCTAAAAGTATTATTATCACCAACCTCATTTATTTATGACCCCACTAAAAATAATTGTCCCATATTCAATCTACAGTATATTTCATTTTCATGTAACTAGCAAATAAAACATTATCCTGTACAAAGATCCCATATGAAACGTACCTCATTTTCATGTGACAACCCCATAACATAAAAGAAGAGATCAACATTGGAACGATAAACGCAAGTTAACCGATCCAGCATGATGACCTCAGCATTAGCCCGGTGTGTCTTCTGAAACAAGTTTTTCTCAAATTTCTTTTCTTCTTTTACAGATGGAAACACATTTGGGTCATAGTATTTTGCCAGGAGACGGTTTCCATCATTGTCAAGAATGGCAATTCCTTTGATAATATATAAGGTTGGTTCCTGGGGAAACAGAAAAAAAAAACTTGAGACTGATGCAAGGTATGAATGTGGAAATAGTACTGTACCTGTACACTTAAAAGAAATATACAAATTCCAAGGTAAATAATATGAAAGGCAATGACAAAGTTAACTCATTAAACAACCAGGGTTGCATGAATCTCAATGTCTAAAAATTACCATGTTATATTAATCCAATACTGTAAATGAATGTTATATACTGTATTTCCTTTCATATCGTTCACTCCAATAAGTTATTTGACTGCAAATTTGGAACCTGGCCCTCCAGTACCGTCCATGATTACATTATTTGATACTTCTCTCGTCTCCTTTCTAGAGAGAACATTTTGAGAGCTTTGAGACAATCCCAGTAACTAAGTGCTGCAATAGTAGTCAAATACCATAACAGAACAGTAAAGAAGCAGCAGTAACATAACGTACCACAACAGCACAGTAACGTTACTAAAAGATAAACTGGTGTAGCAAGAGGTGGCACCTGCCAGGGGTAATTGAACATATAAAAAGTATACACAACTTCTACAAGCCGAGCCTACCAAAGCCAAGATAATATACATGTAGGCCTACCTGTAGGCCTACAGGAAGCGTGTCAAGGGTGAGAGAGGGAGGGAGTTTTCAGGGGGAAGCACCAAGCCATTACGACTATATAGCACAGGGAAGGGGTCAGGATAAGGATTTGGGGATGGGACGGGGGAGAGGAATTGTGCCCAACCACTTGGACGGTCGGGGATTGAACGCCGACCTGCATGAAGCGAGACCGTCGCTCTACCGTCCAGCCTAAGTAATTGAGTCAAGGGTGAGAGAGAAGGAAGAACAAGTATGAGAGCAGGAACACCCCGGCGACCTTACCAGCAGCCCCGACATGTTGACGTTTCTCCTCACTACTGTGGCCACTATATCAGGGTCTCGTCAACATTAAACAATGTACTTTAATCAACTAAAATCCTTAAAATAATTTACATTTATTTTATGTAAGATAGTACCTTATATTTGTTTATTGTTAAGAAAAATTAAAGTTGGCTTTTAATTAAATATTGAAGCAAAATTAATGCGATTTTATAAGGCGTGTATAAATAGCGCCACTGACACGTCTTCCACACAAACATTTATTTAAAGATATATTTAAAGCATTTTCAGTGTATAATTAGCACGCATAAATATATATAAACATTATTTGTAGTAGCCTCCTATTAATAGAGCTATTGGCTCACAATAGGCTATTGCTTTTACCTAACAGTGCTTACCTACTCGTGCCTTGTCTTCCCCCCCCCCTTTTTTCTTTTTGTTATTCCTTTTTTAACACTTTATACTTTAATCCCAATTACTATTACGTTTCAGTCTAAGTGTTTTTCCCTACACCTTGCCCGAAAAGCTATACGTATTAGTGGCTTTAGGTATTTTATGTACTTAGCGTTATTTATAAATCCAACATTATGTTTGTAACTCTTCATTTCTTACTGTGTTCTCGGCGAGAACAGGAATCTCGTGGCTTGTCAAAGGCCATTGTTCTTGGGGATTTTTTCCCAACTGGATTTTGAACTGCAATAATTATGACTTAGCATTGAACTGTTTGTCAAGAGGGGGGACCTTTGACCCAAGCCTCCGGCTTCCTGTCCCCATCGAGGCCAACAGTGTTGGTGGCCCTCAGGTAAATATTGATCTGTTGTCTATCTCACAGTACTTATGTAAATCTACTTCTGCTGAGTCCTCCTCTGTTCATGTATAGTGTTTACAGATGGTCGTGGAACCTGTATTTACCTAGTTGTGCTTGCGGGGGTTGAGCTCTGCTCTTTCGACCCGCCTCTCAACTGTCAATCATTCAACTTTTTTTTGTGGAAGCATGAGAGTTCCGTGACCATCCATCACTTGTATAGACAATCGAAAGTAGTGTAGTATTAGTTCTGGATAGCAAGTGGAGGGACAGCGGTGTTAACTGGCTGTTGATAGCTGGGTTTGTTTTATGTGAAATGGCTCGCCAATCTTCTATAATCGCTGTATCTGTTAATTATTTTGCTGTTGTTTGTCAGGATATCTCTGGTGATGATTTGGTTGTGTCGAGACTATATGTTCCTTGATCTCTTTCAAGGGGGTTTGTTTGGCATAGGAAAGTTTTTCATAAGCAATTAACCGTTTCAAGATCAAGAAGCCACTCTGAAGGATTAAAAACAGGAGATGCTTTTTCACCCACAGGATTATAAACCTGTGGAACCGCCTACCCGCTGAAGCCATACATGCCAAAATTCTGTCGAACTTTAAAATCCACCTTGAAAATCTCATCAGGGCAAATGGGAGTACCTTTGACAAGCCGCCGGCTTCCTGTTCTCGTCGAGGCCAATAGTGTTAGTGGCGCCTCAGGTAATTCAGGCAAGTTCGCGGTCTTCTTACTCGTATAGTATAATTTTAATTTAATCATCTTGATGTCAGTTGGTAAGCTAATGGGCCTATTGGTCCATAAGTGAGGGGCACGACCGTCACCTCACCCCCGGCTGCTCAAAAATTTGTATTCACTTGAACTGTGCCTCTGATGATAATAAGAGTCAACTGAATATCCTTAGCGTCAAGTCATAATCAAATGAATTTTGCAGGTAATTTTTAAACTTTCTTTTCAAGTGAAGAAAAACATAAGAAAAATAGAGAAGCCTCGTGATCTCACCCTTTGTCATATTCAGTAACTCAGTAATAGGAGAAACTCCTACCAAAATAAACAATTATATTATTATATTGTCAGGCTGGTTAAGAGAACACAGTAAATGCTTTCAATAATTTTAATATAAAAATTAAGTACTACGAAATAATAGTTTAACAATATTCAACAATAACACTTTCAATACGTATAAACTAACAAACACAAGACATACTTACAGTAATATATACTTAAGGTAAATCATGTGAATGAGATACAAGTTAACTCCCCAAAATAATTCAAGGAGTTATAAATATAAATACTTCTAGCTAACTGTGGTGTCTTCTCAAAAGCATATTTGCGTGTTATCAGTCTTAGACTATAATGTAGGGTGTTTAAGGGTGGATTTTGGGCGTGGGCGTGAGTGTTCAGGGGGAGGAAAAGATAATTTTTGAGTGGTGCACTGCAGAGGCTTGTGCGTCAACCACAGGTATGAAGGTGGGTTTGTTGGATGAGCGACCATGATGACCCCATTCATCCACAGATTTACAGTATCAGCTACTGGTAATGGCTTTAAACAGCCTCCACTTACTGTGTCCAATTCATGCCCGTGCCACCTTTTGGGTGGCTTAATCTTTATCAATCATCTGTTACACGAGTCGTAGCGGGTATGTTGTAAGGGTATGTCGTGGCTGTGACGTGTCTATGATAGTATATTGTGACTATGAGAGTAAATCGAGGGCTTAAGTGGGCGGTCGTGTCAGGGCATCCATTCCTTGAGCGAAGCGAAGCTCCACCATGAATCGAAGTCCAGTAGCCTCTAGCCAGACGACAGCGAGCCCTGCCCTCTTACAGGCCTCCTCGACTAGTAAATCATACCATACATAAGAGGGTGGGATGGGCAAACGTGGAATTATTTATTTTTACAAACATTTGGCATTTAGGAATAATAATTGGAGACCTGTCGTCTGTAAAACTCCAAAGTGTCGCCGCAGTGTCGTCAATGGATGCAACTCGTGCGGTGGATGGCCGAGGGAGAATGGGAGGTAAGGAAAGTTTGGTAAGGTGTTTATAATATCCTGTTCTTACTCCCGCGGAGAGGAGTAAGATCCTTCCTGGATTTCACGCGGTGAGGAAATAATTACTGGTATGTTCTCGGATGGGTATCCCTTCGGAGGTCCGTAGGCAGGCTCCACAGGTCCGTAGACGGGTTCTGGGGGCCCATAGGCGGGTTCCGGACCTTTGTAAACGTCGTGTTCGGGGTATTTTGGGCCATGGTTATACTCCCAGTAGTGCTCGCCGTACCCGTCGTATGTGTCAGACCACTTCACCTGTGTATATCACGGCTTCTGGTTAAGGGCTTCAATTCAAGCTAATTATTAGATCTTTTATCTCTTAATTTATTGCATAATAAATGTTAAAAAGCTTAGAAAAAACAAACCATGAGAAGGGAGAGGATAGTATTAATTAAAATTGGTGATACGATTAATGTAATCAGGAATATAGAGCAATAGCGAATTAGCAGATGTGCAAAACTGGAAGAATAACTGAACTCAACTTACCCTAGTGCGGAAGCGGTGGTCCTTGGCCTGCTCGAAGCGGGATATATAATGGTGAGGGTTGCCTCTATTCCAACCAAACTCGTATTCTTTGTGACCGGGAACGTTGACGTACTGGAAGTATCCCTCAGGCTGCTTGTAGCCTCCTGCCTGGGGCCGCCCCTGCCCGCCCGCCACCACGCACGCCACCACACAAACCTTCCCAGTCAACGTTATTTATTATTAACAAGCCTAGATACACAACACTGTGATGTTACCCTGTTCTATATGAAGGATTGCAGGGTATAGTTAACAATACAAATGTTTATACGAAATGTTATCTGCCTAGTGATAACATGAATGAAGTCAGGAGGGCGAGTCTTGTGCTTCAAGATGCATTAATATCCTAACATGAGGCAAGTTAGTTTAGTTCATTTATTATGCACCTCATACCCCCATCGTGTGGGGCGTAGATGAAAGGGTTACAGAGGCACATAATGGGCTCAGGGGCTGAACCATGGAGGTAAGAACTAAAATTCCCCACTTTTCTAGACACTCCAGCAAGGCAACTTAACTTTGCCCTCAATAATAATGTAATAATAAAACGTTTATTCGCATGTAATAATAGTACAGTTGTAGGTACAGAGGCTGTATATTAAATAAGGACACATCCTACATTTTTCAAAATTATTTTTAAAAGTAACTAGTTACACAAGTTAGCTTTATTATGGTTCTATCTTAAACTCTTGGGAAGTTATAAGTAAAACAACATCTAATATGATTATATAGCTAAAGTAATCACTGAAAATAACCTGTGACAAAATGAATATGTTTGAGCAATAACACTCAAGTTCGTCTATATTAATCTAACGGATGAGTTTGTGTTCTTCGTCTGTAAAGAACACAGAGAACAAATATAATAACTTACCACTAGAGAGATCTTCATTACACCTGCACACTACAGCTTCTCCGGTACACTGAACTTCTCACACACTCTCGCCTATATATAGTTCTCTTCCTGGGTTGCCATACTGCACCATGGGGATCAACACCCTATGAGTATTTATCCTTGTATTCCAATTTGTATAATATTAATTGTATTAAGAATATTTTTTAAAAGGACCAAATACAGTTATTACAATATAAACTGGCACATTTAGACTGACAAACAGAGGAAAATAAAATATTGACACAGGGAAGCGTGAAAGTGTTAACCCAGACTTTCTCTCAAGGAGCCAGAAGGAACGCCTATAGCATCGTTCTTCTTCACTGCTTCACTGTTATTATATTCTTCACTGCTTTATATTGACTTATATCCACTTATTGTCTCAGGGAGCCGGTCGGCCGAGCGGACAGCACGCTGGACTTGTGATCCTGTGGTCCTGGGTTCGATCACAGGCGCCGGCGAGAGACAATGGGCAGAGTTTCTTTCACCCTATGCCCCTGTTACCTAGCAGTAAAATAGGTACCTGGGTGTTAGTCAGTTGTCACGGGCTGCTTCCTGGGGGTGGAGGCCTGGTCGAAGACCGGGCCGCGGGGACACTAAAGCCCCGAAATCATCTCAAGATAACTTCAAGAAGGATATAAGGACCACTGACTGGCTAATTAACTGTAGTTTAAGGTATGCACAACAGGTGCATCATACACATTTGTATAGTTTTCTAAAACACTGAACTTTTGCAAAAATTATGTAATTCAGACATTGAAGCAAAATATTGTTGCAGTATACAATTTTGTCGTTCAAAATATAATTCAAAATGGTATGAAACTGATAATACATATTTTCATGCTCTTAAAGTAGACATTGACGTGAGAGTTTAATTACTAATTGCTATATTTGATTACTAATTAGATATATATACCGCTAGAATTAAAATTGCAAATAATTAAACAAACCAAGGCCAGCATATACACTTATTAGCTCAACATAAACTTGGTGAACACTCACAACATGACATAAAAGGTGATGTAAGCGCAGAGTTATGCATGTAAAACAAAAGATCACATTTTTATTACGACCAATACATATATTAATTATGTCTAGGGCGCAGCCTAGCGGTCTTCACATACGGCAGCGCTTAGTCCTGGCTTTCATGGAGATCTGTAAAGTAAATCTTGTATCCCCCGCGCCCCACATGACCCCCTCCCCCGCGCCCCACATGACCCCCTCCCCCGCGCCCCACATGACCCCCTCCCCCGCGCCCCACATGACCCCCTCCCCCGCGCCCCACATGACCCCCTCCCCCACGCCCCACATGACCCCCTCCCCCGCGCCCCACATGACCCCCTCCCCCGCGCCCCACATGACCCCCTCCCCCGCGCCCCACATGACCCCCTCCCCCGCGCCCCACATGACCCCCTCCCCCACGCCCAACATGACCTAAGGGCACAACTGCCCCCCCCCCTTCACAGTGGTGCGGCAATAGGCCACAAGAGTGGTAGAGGTAACGAGGAGCTGGTAACTTTCTTTACCCCTTAGGACTCTTAGCCAGTCTCTAACGTACGTATAATGGTATTAATTTGTTCCCACTTATGTCAAGGGTCAAGAACATGTCATATATTAGGTCAAGAACATGTTTATTTATGTCAAGAATATGTTAAATTATGTCAAGAATATGTTAAATTATGTCAATAATGTTATATTATGTCAAGGGCATGTTAAATTATGTCAAGAACATGTTTAATGATGTCAAGAGCATGTTTAATTATGTCAAGGGCATCGTAAAATATATTAAGAGTATGTTAAACTGCAAAGGCTTGTTAAACTATCAGGAGAATGTTAAACTCTCAGAGGATTGTGTTGTACACGTTAGCCACTTCTAACAAAGTTTGTATAAACTGTGTGGATATCTTCCAGCACATGAGTATGGATACAACAATTCCAGAGCTCCATATGTGCCTCATGCCGGCAGGTGTAAAGTGATGATGATGTTCAAGATTCACTACCTGGAACAAAAAGTTTCAAACAGCTCGGGCTATAGTGAGCCCGTAGTTGAAAAAACGGATGAGCAGTCAATATGTAATGCATAAGACCCATGACTCCGTCATGGCTGACACTTAGGGCGCTCAGAGGTGCCTGCTTCAGGAGCCACCAGCCTCACGTCACTCCGTCATCCTGGTGAACGCTGGCTCTCCTCCTTATAATAATGTCCAAAATCACAATAAATCCTAATTTGAATACTAGCGAGTTCAGGCCTTCAAGTGTCGCATTCTCTCCTGTCAGAGCAAGTTGCTTGGAGCAATGTTTTTGGTCTAGATCTAATTTAATTTGATACTAATTAAATGCATGATTTAATTATCTGCTTTGCTAGAGTCATCCTGGCGTGTTATTGGGACGGTATGGGGTATTGTAGCGTAGTAGTCTTACTTAATAACTGTCTAGAAGACAACTGTTCCGTTAACAAGTTTAACGGAACAAAATGGCCTTTTCGATTGAAAGTTTAAGTGAATTTTTTGTTTAAGAATAATTTATTCAGACTCACATGTTATATTAGTCTTTCCGAGCTTGGCGCCCTCTGGTGATATAATTAATTGTGTGCTAGAAACTGTCGGACAAATGGTGCAAGGAAAACTAGGAGGCAATTGAGTGAAAAAGAGAAGCACAGCTTCCGGACCCCATCACCCCACAACACTGCAGCACATCATCAATTTACTGATAATTTCTCTTCGACGTTTCTTTTTTGTGTGTGATTATTGCTTTCTCTCCGTTGCTACTACAAGAGATGTTTTCTATTAACAGAGGCCATTGCTTCGTGGTATTTTGGTTCTTGTCAAATATTCTTAATAAGGTACACACGCACTGATGTTAGCACATGCCCATGTCTGCGCACGCACGCATGCACACACATGGATTGAGAACCTCTAATAACTGTTAAAAGCTCGAGTAACCATATATGCGCTTCAGTCAAAACCAATGTGACTCTCGAGTTTGCACCAGGTTAAGTTAGCTGAGAATAGATTTGGTTTCTATTCATGGTCTTTCCCCCTTTCTACTGTGGGTGAGTAGGGAAACCTGCCTTTACCAGCATATCCTGCAAGGAGGCTTCCCTTTTCCAGACTATCAGAGGGGGTTGGCAGGGACATGTTGCCACGTTGGGTGTTCCTTAAAGGTACCCAGACCCGAGGGGTCTCTTGGTTCTGAATGAAACTTGTGTGGTTACTGAGCTTCCAGCAGTTATGAGCTCAACCTAACCACACTCTTCGTATCACTCAATTAGTAAACATTAAATCATATTATAACAATCTTATTCACACAAATTAAAGTAACCCAAGCGGGCTTGTAATAAAATATATATAAACCCAAAGAAAAGAAACTATTTAGCACGGGTGGTGCATGAACAAGGGGACACGGGAGAACTTAGTACCCAAATGAGCCAGAAAAGTGGTCGAAATGAGCGGCCGAAACGCTATGCGTATTAGTAGCTTTAGGTATTGTATGTACTAGCTCTATCTATAAATCCAACATTTGTAACTCATCATCTATATATGCACTTTTACCTGCATACAAATTTGAATTTGAATTTGAGGGGCGCCCGGGCTGCAGTGTGCCCACCAGCATACCCAATTCCTGACTCCGCTATCTTGTCCTTTGGAGAGGGCGAGGAGAGAGTACTGTAGTGACTTAGAGAGTGGTCACAGTTGGGAGTAGTGTACTGAAAGTAGTGTAGTTCAACTTCAGATAGACAATGTTAACATTAGCAATACAAATAAGGGAAAGTTCCTTGGCCTATACATTGACAAGAGACTAAACTTCAGCATCCACATTAAACACAGCCAAATTGAGTCTAAAAACTGTAGGTATACTTTCTAAAATCAGATATTACGTGCCCCACTTTGCTCTCCTCTCATTGTACTTACTAGTTAATCTATCCCTATCTTATATGACTCAAAGTTACAAATTCTGTCTTCAGACAAGACACAGCCCCACTGTGCAAGTCCCTAAACATGCTAAACATACATACACTCCACACATTCTCTTGTCCTATTTACACGTACAAAACTTTGTTCCTAAATGCCAACCCTGATCTGAAACTCTTCCTTGATAGATGTAACGAGCTTCCTTGATATAATCCAAGAGCACCACACCAGATTTTTTTTGTTATATTTATATTTACAAGAGTTCTTATTCTTGTGTAGCCACTAGCACGCAAAGCGTTTCGGACAAATATATATATCTTTGATATTCCTAGTCAAACTAAATCTGTGCAAACACTCCATGCAAATAAAAGGACTGTCTTTGAACCTCACGCCCCAATGAATTAAACAATTGTCCAACCTATGCTTAATTCAAAAGTAAAACCAAAAAGTACTTAATTTCATCCTCAGTTTCCTATCTTGTGCTTCAAACTCACACTGTATCTTGTGCTACCCAATATTAGTACACAAGACATACATCTTCATCAATGTTATCGTAACTACAATTTATATTGTAGTTATTATGTTGAACTCAAATTTTGCAACAATATACCTATTCATGTTACCTTAACTGTTTGATTAAGGCCCTGCCCGAAACGCTATGCGTGTTTAGTGACTTTGCAAGAATGTAAGAACACCAATGTTATGTACTCTCACAAACCCAATGTACCTTTTTGTATGTAAATAAATAAGTTTGAGAGATCACACCGGTCTATTATTGATTGAGAGGCGGGACCAGGAGTCTGAATCCGACCCTCACAAACACAGGTGGTACACACGAGTAAGTAAATATTACACTTTGAGAGAAACTCTAGTGTTATCGACCAATGTGTTTGTTGCTTGGTCATAATTACTGATTGCTTCCCCCCAAGTGGCGTTAACCACCGAAAGCGTTGTGGCCTCACCCTAACTGCCTCAAGTCTCATCTATCGCCAACCATACCTCTCCCATCACCTCCAGCACCAACAGCACTGTGGACACTAGGCCCTCTACCTAGATGATGGGCCCCGCCCTTCCGCTCAAATGCAGGATTACGCTCAAATAGTTATGTAGAAATTATTTATATTATAAATCATCATCCCAGAGCTAAGTCAACTTTCGTATCAGTAACGGTTTAGGGCCACAGGACTAACACTGCAAAGCAAGCATAACAGGGCGGATCTCATTGAAAC